GTTTTAATGCCCGTTCTGACATCGGAAACTGAAGCCCACGTTGTTCGCTGCAAACGTCATGAGCTTCCCATTGAAGAAAACCCAGCACGCACATCGTGGTCATATATATATATATATGATGCCAGCGATCCAGATGACGCTGACCTTCCGACCGCGGCTGGGTCTAGGCTGTTTTATACCTCGTACTGGCACACGTCGCTCGCGGCAAACTCCGCGTGCTCTGCGTCCTTGACATATGTTCTACCAAAGCTGCATCGAGCTCAACATGAGGAGGAGATAGAGCTGTGGTCGAACGACCCAGCCCTTATTGTGTCTCGCGCCGCTTGGCCAGTGCTTCAGCAGCTTCAGCATATCGCTTGCACATCTCACGCACCTGGTCGTCGTCCTCATGTGGTTCTTCATCAGTACATGCTTGGAAGAATTGACGCAAGCTGCTAGTATCATCAGTATCCATTGGCACAGGGACTCGCACGGCTTCATCTTGTTTAGCAGCGCGGTCCGGTCCTTGGGACCCCCCTGGCTGTCGGCCTGGCGGTCCTGATTCGGCAGCTTGTTGTTGCGCAGACGCCGAGGAGGCCTTGGCTGCATCTGCTTTGGCCTGTAGCTGTCGAAGTGCCTCGAACGTGGACTTGGCCTGGTCCAGGAGAGTGGCTTCTGCCCCTGTGGATTCGAAAAGCTGACCGAGCTTGTCGACTGGCAGGTCCAGGGCAGGCACCATGGTCTTGAGAGAGTACGATTCTGGAAGAGGCGTCGGCAGCTGTGCCGAGACCGCGAACCGCTGATGCTCCAGCTCAGTGATGTCAGTAGCCAGTGTGTGAATCGACTTCTTGACTCCTTCGATCTTGGCTTCGAGCTCCACCTTCTGGATCTCCAGATCGGCCAGTGTCTCCTCCTGCTGCAACCTGCTCTTGAGCAGCTCATCAATGCGAGTGGTGTAGTGGTGCATTTGGGCGGAGTGCGGCTTGCTGCTGACGATCTTAGACTTGATCGCCATTCGTTTAGCTTCCAACTGCTCTCGCGCCGCCACCACAGCAGGCTCAGTGAGGTTGCCCAGCGCCCTGAGGGTCTGGCTGATCTCATTGAGGCGCTTCTGGTCGGTGTCGGTCTTGTCACTGGTGTCCGTGTCCAATGTTTGCCCATTCTTTGCCGCCAGAACTTGCTCTCGAAGCTTTGTAATCTCCAGGTCCTTGGCCTTAAGCTGCTTGTCTCTCTCGACTTCGTAGTTGGTGACTGCTGCCTTCTGCCTCTGCTTATCACGTTCCAAGGCTGGGGCCCTGAAACTCGGCGCCGTCTGCAGAGGCTTGGGGCCTCCAAGCGCAGCACCTTTGTTGCATTGGCAGCTTGAGCAAGCGTTGAGGTCACCTCTGTTCCACCACTTCTCACCTGTCCGCGGATGAACGCACCATCGGCATAGCCACGGCGCAGCCCATGCCTTGCGAGAACCAACCTTCGGCATGCGTCCGCCATCCACCATGAGTCAGTGTCTGGGAACCTCGGAACAGAACGAGATCGGGAGGTACGGTCCCGAGCGTGGAATACGTTGTGAAGAAAAGCGGCACCTCCAGCCTGGGCAGGCACTGGGGAGGTGCGGGAGCGGTGAGGACCGTCAGTTCCCACCTGCCAAAATGTCAAGTCCGAGCCAACGCTACGGACTTGAGCCAAAATGGCTACGGGAGGGGAGGAGGAGGAGGGAGGGGGGAGGAGGGACGAGGAAGGAGGATTAACAGGCGGAAGAGGAAGACGAGGAGGAGGAGGCGGAGGAAATGGAGGGCACGCAGAAAGGCGAGAGGCCTCTTGGATGCCTCTTGGAGTCTCCTCGATTTTCTTGCGAGAGCTCCTTGAGGTGTTTTGGGGGTCGTTGGGCAGTCTCGGGAACCTCTCGGGGCGTCTTGGGTGCCTTTGAGGGGGGCCTCGTGGAGCTTATTGAGGGTCTCTTGGGCGCTTCTGGGTGGCATCTTGGGGGCATCTTGGGGGCCTCTTGGGGCCTCCTGGGCTCCTCTTGGGGCCCTCTTGGGGCACTCTCGGGAGCCTCGGGGCCATCTTTGGCCAACTTGGAGGAGATCGATCAAATGAGGAGAGCTCCTTAATTAGGGCCCCTCCCCCAGGATGCCAACATGTGCCCACAATCTTAATCAAATCAATCATTGTGGCTTCCGCGCCGAGGCCATATTGGACGTTCCAACGTCTCGCGAAACTCCCCCGTCCAGACCCAGGGGAAGGGGGTAGGGGGAGGGGTCAAGACACCCTCCCCGCCCGAAAAGTGTCTCGCTCACTCCCACCCGCCCTCCCAGCACAGAAGTAGCACCAGGGCCTCATCATGTTCAGCGATCGTCTATGGATGGGCTGGGAGCAATTACAGACCCCATGTGCGCGATGAGGCGAGGTGCGCCACGCATGCCAGGCGCTCCAGGTGCGCCAGCCGCCCCTGGGGCCCAAGGCGTGCCAGGCACGCCTCGCGCGCCAGATGCGCCACGTGCGCCATGTGTGTCGCATGGTCCAGCCGCGCCTGGCGCGCCACGCCCAGGGCCGCGCAGAGTGCGCCAGGTGCGCCCACGCACGTGACAGCTCACATTGGGAAACATGTCGGCCCCCACCATCCTTGTCGAAGACCCGTGCTTGGTGGGCCTGCACACAGCAAGCAATACGCCAGCACCCCTTTGGTCCTTGTCGAACACCGATGGACAGTGATAGCGGGGTGGCAGCGCACGATCCAGATTTTTCCGCGAAGTGCTTGTTGTATTCTGTTGACAGGGATGGTGGCCTTGCGAAAAGCAGACAATATGAGGGCACCCCCGCCGTCCCCGCCAACAACACAATACAAAGTGCTAGCGGGGCCCACGAGCATGACCCAAGATTGTGCCCCGAAGTGTGCTTCGTATTGTTTTCGACGGGGATGGGTGGGTCCGCATTGGTCCTGGTTGGCTGCGGGTCGCTTGGGGGAGGGGGTGTTAACTCGCAGGGGACAAACATAAACCCTTTCCCGAAGGGGCTGAAGGACGGTTGGAAGAAGAACTCCCTAAGCCACACGCCCTGGGGGGCTGGTGGGATTCACGACGTCGGATGTACAGTGGAGGCCCATACCAAGATTCACCCGGATTGCCTCCAGGGTGCCCTGGGTGTCTTGGGTTTCGATAGTTTTGCTATGGAAGGCGTGACGTCCCCACACCAAAAGTCAATGGACGTCCTGGGGTCTCAGGGTTGGGTTTTCTGCGGAAGGTTTCGTGTGGACTGGCCTCCACTGTATGGGCTCGGCCTCTTGTCGGTAATCGGCGCCCCTGGGCCTTCGGGTGGACCGATCTCTTCGGTCCTGGGCGTCTGGTCGTCTGTTTCGGCTTCCCCGTTCTCTGGCCCTCTGGCGGCCATCCTAAGCTGGCCCAGGACGGCGAGAACTGTCCCCCGCGGGAGGCGGTCGAGACCTCCTCGCGGATTGCACACGTCAGTTCGTCCATGAGTGCGCCTTGCTGCTGCCTCCTCCTCCTCTTGGGCGCCGAGAGGGTGGGGGGCAATGGGCGAGCGGTCGGCCTCTGGAGACAGGATGTTTGTCCATGCCCCCGCTCATGGCGCTCGCGGGGGTCGGGGCGCGAGCAGGTGCAGCCCCAGCAGATGGGTGACAGCACTCCGATCGCCTATCCGGGAGGTTCGGCTTCAGGATCTGGCCGTGTCTCGCCACTTGTGGTGCTCCTGGAGGGTCGCCGCAGCACCAATCGGGCGCAGCCAGGACCCCTCTGGGGGCCCAGAGACCGACCAGTCTGGAGCAGATTTTGGGCAGGGTTTGGGCGATGGGGGGCGAGGGCGAGGATCGATGATCAAGGGTTTGGGAGGCTTCGGACGTTTTCGCCCTCGCCCCTTCTCTGGGCTCCCGCTTCCGCAGACCTCGAGGGGGCCTCCTGGGGCCTCTAGGGAACTCTGGATACTCTCTGTGGTCCGATCTAATTTGGGCAAGGACCCCCCCGGAGCCTCCAGGCAGGGGCCGATCCCCACTGAGAAGCCCTCGGCCATCTTAACAGGCCGCCTCCCCTTCCCCTGACCAAAGTACGCTGACGAAGCCCGTTCCCGCACTAACCCTCCCAGTCCTGGATAATGTTTCGAGATGCATTCAGCCGTGGCCACGCCGCTCCAGAAGGCGTGCGCGAACTGGGGAGGTCGAACCACCCCGGGGATCTCGAGAATTCCTCCAGGAGTGGTGGGAGGAGGAGACCTGCCCGCAGCGGGCGTGAAAGGATCCATGTCCACTGTTTCTTCGGCGGTCGACGCTCCAGCCTTTTCATGCTGGTGCCCCCCCCCTGGGCGCCAGGAGGAGAAGGGCATGGTCAAGATTCTCGGTATCTGGTCCGAGATTTCTTTTGATTGCGCCCACTCTGGCCCCACATGGAGAAGCAACTCGGCACCTGGGGTAAGACCCCTAGCCATGCCCCCACTGGCCCCATGGTGGGACTGGGGCGTGAGCAGGGTCATGTGGAGAAAACGTCGGTCGCCTACTTCCTAGGGATCCAGGGCAGGACGCTCCAGCAGCCGTGGACGTGGATGCCTCCCAGCGGCGCCGAGCCACCCTCGCCCCGCCCCCCCCGGGCGCGCTGCCACGCCGCAGGATGCAACTCCTGGGAGGTCAAGCTCATCATTGGCTCTGGTCGGTCCGTGGTCGAAAATTGGGCAAGTCGGGCCGAATCCCGTTTTGCAATCTGGCTCAATCCCGCCTCTTTCCGTTGAGTCTGGTTTGCTCCCGTGTTTTCTCCGGCTGAGTCTGGCTCAGTTGCCCCTTCTTCCGGCTCAATGCAGTTGGTCCTGATTGGTGGGTCGACCCTGCGAGATCAAGGGCACCCTCGTGCCCTGTGCCTCGCGACCCATGCCTTCTCAAATTCCTCTGGCAATGTGGCCCTCGTTCTCGTCGAGCACCCTCGAGGAGCACCTCGGATCATGCTGCAACAAAATAAACCCACGAAGCTGGTACATGCATATGGGGATGGTCGTCCGTGCGATGGCAAGCGAAGACATCCCAGGAGTTGCTCCCCAAATCCCATGCGGCGCCCGCCCTCCGGCCTCCCCCGGTCACCTCCGGCCGCTGTCCAGCCCTGGGCGCGTGCGGGCAGCGCCGGAGACAGACCCCGCCGCAGGGGGAGCGCCGCGATCCGCGGCCAGAAAGGCGGGCGAGCGCGCGGGTCGGGTGCAGGTCTCTGGGCCCCCCCAGATGGGGTCGGGGCAGAAGAGGTCGGAGGATTGCGCCACATCACCGATGCATCGGCGATGTGGTTCGATGCAGAGCCAGAGTGTCTCCCGCCGGCGACGTCGATGCATCGCTGGCGATGCATTGGCGATGCGGCGCGATCCTCCGACCCCATCTGCTCGGACCCCATCTGGGAGGTCTCTCAAGGTCGTGGGGGCCGGCCCCCGACAGAGGTCGGCGGGTCCTCTCCGACCTCTCCCGGCCCTGGCCGGCCCAGGTTCGGGGAGCCATCCCTGTCTCGGGATCCGCCGTATTTAAGCTGATTCTCCGACTTCACAAAATGCCAAATGCGCAGGCGGTTTCTCACACCAAAGCCTTGTCTTTCCCATGATAATCAAGCCGCTTACAAAAGGAGGCAAATTCGGGGATACCCCCCAGGTTTTTCTTGGACGCGCCCATATCGAGGATTGACGCCCCTCTGTCCTATATCCCCGTGTTCTGTCTCAAATTTCTGGTCCATTGATATATCCCCTACTATGCGCAACAGTAGGGCGGAAACTTCTGCTTCAGAAGATCAGGCCGATATTTCCACTGAGGTATGGCGGAAGCAGCGATGGCCGAGTAGGGCGCCAGGTGCGTGACAAGTAAAGCGGACATTTCCGCCTTGCTTGCGAGACCGCACGTGATCAGGGACGGGGAGCCCTTCTTCCCGCTAGCGCCCCGGCGAGGGAGATACTCCAGGGCCGGCCCGAGATGGGCGGTGTGGCCCCGGAAGGGCCAGCTGAGCACCGACCCGAGTCAGCTTGTCCACGAGAGCGGTTTGTGGAGGCAACGGCGGCCGTCCCGCCCGGCCCAACTCCTCTTATTAGAATTGGTTCCCTGACTCCTCTGTTGTTGTTGTTGTTGTTGTTGTTGTTGTTGTTGTTGTTGATGATGTTGTTGTTGTTGTTGTTGTTGTTGTTGTTGTTGTTGTTGTTGTTGTTGTTGAACATTATTTATTCTAAAGAATAATTATTGTTGGGCCCCCTGGTGCGCGCCCCCCCTGCGCCGCCTAGGCCGCAGCTACATTTTCATCATTTTCGTGAGGAAGCCTCAGAAAAGAGGGTGTGTACAGGATCCGGTTGTTTTGTTGTAATCCGCTTTCCCTTGCAAAAAACAATAGAAAATGACATTTCTTGTTCTAATATAATCAAATTTCAAGAATCCCTTGCAAAAAATAAGGTAAAGTGGACATTCGCGCGCGCAAGACGAAATCCTTCCAAAACCTTAGTGTTCGCAGCGATTTTAACATAAAAACATCAAAAAACCAATGGTTTTTCAACAAAAAATTGTCAAAATCTCATCCCGCGCGCTCTTGCGGATTCGTAGGAAACCCAACACTTTTTAAACATTTCTGTCAAACGGGCTTTTGCGAGCAACTTTTTCGAACTTCTGCGACAACGGTTGCGCACCTGCCAGGGCCATCATCCCTGTCAAATAATACCATGCGGGACACATTCGTTTTTTCTTCGCGCGCGCACGCCGAAATCTCCAAAAACCATTGGGCTTCTTAAGAATTTTAGCACCGCGATCATAAAATCACACGAATCGCACCGTAGGTCCTCGAAAAACACCGGGACAACCATCGGGACAACCATCGGGACAATCATCGGGACAGTCATCGGGACAACGATCGGGACAAGCACAACCATCAGGACAACCATCGGGACAATCATCGGGACAACGATCGGGACAACCACAACCATCAGGACAACCATCGGGACAACCATCGAGACAACCATCGGGACAACCATATCCTCTCTCTCTTGTGTATTCCCACATCCCTCAGGAATTTGCCCTAAAGATGTGATCAACTATCTTGTGAGTACGTATCATGTGTATCATGTGTATCATGTACCATATGCATCATATGCAACAGATGTTCTGTGGAAGGCTTAACAACTTCTGTGGGTTAACAAGGCTTAACAACTTCTGTGGGTGTACGAACGTAGGCTTAACAACTTCTGTGGGTGTGTACTCCACGCCAGTGTAGTAGCCACGGTCGTCCGCAGGCCACGAAGTGAAGTGTCCGAACGTCATAGGGCGGGAAGCTGGGTGTGGGTGGTGGCGAAGAGTCGTGTGGATATTTGGTAGAGCTTGCACTGCCCCCCCACAAAGTGGGGGTATTGGCTGGCGTCGCATGAAAACCCTGGCACTGGTGAGAACACTGAGCATTCGGGTAAAGTGATTGTTGTTGTTGTTGTTGTTGTTGTTGTTGTTGTTCTTGCTGAACATTCATTTCTGAAGAATGAATATTGTTGATCCCCCCGTCCGGTGCACATTGTTTTTTTGTTCCATTGAAGTGCCCTTCCCGGGGCTCGCACCCTGCTTTTGATCAGGGAAAGTCTTCAGGGTCAAACTGCGTTGTTGGCCCCCTGTTTACAGCAACAACAACAACGGCTCCCGCCTGATATTTCCTCACAATATACTGAAGAGTCGCGCTCTCGCTTGGGACGTCCTTGCCATTTACCACCGGATCGCGGCTCCCGCTTTATACTTCCTCACAATGGATTGAAGAATCGCGCTCTCGCTTGGACTTCCTTGCAACTTACCACCGCATCGCGGCCTTTGTGGGCTCCGGAAACGGCAGGGCTGTTTTTGTTCACCGTTTCCAGAAAAATGTGCCTTGAACATGGAAACGGCAAAAAAAACGGCGACCGGAAACTGCACAAAAACGGCTCCAGGATTGGAACTGGAACCGGAACTTGTCAAAAAACGGCGACGGAACCGGTAAAACAACGGCGTAGGAACCGGAAAAAAACGGCAAAACGGAACCAGTAAAAAAACGGCCTTGTTTTTTCCAGGGCCCACTAAGATCGCGGCTCCCGCGTGATATTTTCTTACAATTTATTCAGGTGCCGCTCCTCGACACTCAGGAATCGCGCTCCCGCTACATGTTGCGTGGCGGTTCAAGCTGAATTTACGCTTCAACGACCCGCCCGCTCGACCCGCCCGTTTGGGCCTGCCCGCCCGACCAGCCCGTTAGGGACTGCAGTCGCCGCTCGCTGCCCTTCGCCCGTCTTCGATGCCCCTCGCTGCCCGTACTGGTTCCACGGTCGCCTTCGCTCGCTGCCCTTCGTGGCCCCGTTGCTGTCCTCAGTGGCCCCGTCGCTGCCTATTGTGGCCCCGCATTGTATGCCCTTCGTGGCCCCCGCTCGTTCGCGCCCGTCGTGGTCCCATGTGCATGCCCTTCGTAGCCCTGCTGTCGCCCTTCGTGACCCTCTCGCTGCCCTTCGTGGCCCCTTTGCTGCCCTCAGTGGCCCCGCTGTCGCCCTTTGTGGCCCCATATGCGAATGCCCTACGTGGCCCCCGCTCGCTCGCGCCCTTCGTGGCCCCATTGCTGTCCTCAGTGGCCCCGCTGTCGCCCTTCGTGGCCCCCTCGCTGCCCTTCGTGGCCCCGGTGCTGCCCTCAGCGGCCCCATTGCTGCCCTCTGTGGCCTTGGATTAAATGCCCTTCGTGGCCCCCGCTCGCTCGCGCCCTTCGTGGCCCCATATGCATGCCCTTCGTCGCCCCGCTGTCGCCCTTCGTGGCCCCCTTGCTGCCCTTCGTGGCCCACTTTCTGCGCTCAGTGGCCCCGCTGTCGCCCTTTCTGGCCCCATATATGTATGCCCTTCGTGGCCCCCGCTCGTTCGCGCCCGTCGTGGCCCCATATGCATGCCCTTCGTGGCCCCGCTGTCGCCTTCGTGGCCCCCTCTCTGCCCTTCGTGGCTCCGTTTCTGCCCTCGGTGGCCCCGTCGCTGCCCTCTGCGGCCCCCTATACGCATGCCCTTCGTGGCCCCCGCTCGGTCGCGCCCGTTTTGGTCCCATATGCATGCCCTTCGTGGCCCCATTGCTGCCCTTCGTCGCTCTGCTTGCCATGTGTGGCCCCCTCGAGACCTTCGTGGCCCCTTTGCTGCCCTCTGTGGCCCTGCTGTCGCCTTTTTTCGCTCCATATATGTATGCCCTTCGTGACCGCCGCTCGCGTCCTTCGTGGTCCCTTCGCTGCCTTCGTGGCCCTGTTGTCGCCGTTTGCGGCCCCCTCGTTGCCCTTCGTGGCCCCGTTTCTGCCCTCAGTGGCCCCGTCGCTGCCCTCTGTGGCCACGTATACGTATGCCCGTCGTGGCCCCCGCTCGCTCGCACCGTTTGTAGCCCCACTGCTGCCCTCAGTGGCCCCGCTGTCGCCCTTCGTTGTCCCTTCGCTGCACTTCGTGGCCTCGTTGTCCTTCGTGGCCCCGTCGCTGCCCCTCGCTCTCGCCCTTCGTGGCCCCATTGCTGCCCTCAGTGGCCCCGCTTTCGCCCTTCGTGGCCCCTTCGCTGCCCTTCACCATCCTTCCGCCCCACTCTCCCAACATCCCGCTTCTTTTCAGGGTTCCACGAAATTTGTTTCTGACACCAATTCGCAGCTGTACGTCCCCCCCGTGGGGGTATCCACGATATGTTCTTTCAAGGGGATGGTACGTGGCGCTGTTTATGGCGCGACCCATGGCGAAACTGATTCTTAACCTGTGTTGGAGTGGCTGGCGCAAGCCATGGCGCAAGCTGAGCCGCCACTCGCAGCGCAAATCATCGTCCTCTCTCGTTCTTGCCCCTCCCCTCCCTTCCTCCGATCCTTTCGTCCTGATTCTCCCCCGGTATCCATTGCCCTTCGTTTTTTTCATGGGCTTCACCAGCCACGAGTGGCATGGAATGAAGATACCCCCCCCAAAAAAAAGGAGGCACGATCGAAGACGAAGAGGGCGGGTATCCAGGGTTTTGGATTTGCATATTGAATGACACGCGAGCAGATGAGAGCGAACAGCTTTAAAATGATTGTTGTTGTGGTTGGTGTTAACAAAGCCACTCGTTGGCGCCCCTCCCCCCCCCCCCCCTCTCGGCGCAACGCAACTCAACGCAACGGTCTCTCCCCCCCCACCCCCAGGCGCAACGCAACGCGGCGCAACGGACGCAGGAGTGTAGCAG